AGCATTTAGACTCCAGCTGTCATTAAAGCTGAGTTAATGGAGAAAGTGGGTCAGTTCTCTCTATGCTGTGTACATTAACACCAAAAAACGAGGTGGTGCCAGTGTGGGGAAAGGGTGAATCACATCAGGAAAAAGAGAGAGCCACACAGCATCAGAAGGCATAAACAAACAAATTTGGTGACCGCAGTTAACCTACAACAGCAAGGAGTGGACTGAAAGCTAATGATTATTAACATACAGGAATGGTTTTTAAAACTTATTATTATTAAAAAAGCGTTCTTCTATTGTTACGATTTCAAGTTTCCCTTTCGCCATATAGAACAGCTTTCAAAAAGGTTCTATATAGAATCATATACAACACATTCTCCATCAATCTGAAGAACCATGCAAAGAACCGTTTAGAACCATTTAAGCATGAAATGATTCTATATAGAATCCATGGTTCTAAACAGAACCACCACCTTTACTAAAGAACTCTTGAAGAAGTTTTTAAGAGTGTAGAAACCTCTAATGATGTATGTTAAACATGGGAAGAACAACTGCAGAAGGAAGCCACATAGCTATTGTTACTCCTAAGAAACTAAATGCATAACCGTGGCAACTGTCTTCAATGAATCATTATAATGGAGACAATGGACTGCATAAATGACAGAAATGACTTATCAGATAAGGAAGCCCACCAGTATTTGGGTAGTTTCTCAAAAAAGTAATCTATTACAAATTATTAACCTATATTATTATTATTATTATTATTATTATTCTCAACTGCATTATTATTTTCAAACTGTAATGCAATTCTGTATGATTCTGGAAAAAGGAAGCTAATTTTTCATTACTTTACTTCTACCTTACTTCAAAACCCATACACATCTGTACCAGTTAGAAAGTAAAATTCAACAGTCCTTTCAGTAATGTATTTAGAAATCAGTGTCCATTCACAGTAAACATTATTTAAAAATTCACCAATTCCTGCCTTTTCTCTGAACAAGACATACCCAATTATGCTTGAATAAAAATATGAACAGATGTTTCTATTTGAACTAGTAAAATATTTAAAAAAACAGCTGCCTCACAGTAAAATCTTTATAAATAAAAGATAAAACATACAGACCTCTCTTACTGTTCAGGTGAGGCTGGGACTCGATAACATGTACATCTTTATCCTTATTAGTTTGTACTGCATTGCACCCAAGACTAACAAGACAACAAGCTGCAAGCTAAAAGTTATCAAGGTAGTTTCCTGGCCATCTAGATATTTCGGTTTGGCTCCTTATCTCCAGTTGAAAGGGTTATAAAAAATAAAAAATAAATAAATAAAAAAATAAATTGTCTCTGGCATCCATTTTGTGCTGAACAAAGATCCCAAAAGTCTCGACAAGTGGAATAAAAGTTACATTAAAGCTATTTTGGTTGCATTTATAAGCCTACAGATTTGTGGTTAGGCTAGTAGTCAAGAACGGTTGAGCAGCAGAGGGATTCCCATCACTGTATGATTTTTGCGTGCTAGGTATTGCAGGGAGAGAACAGTAACGAACAAAACATGAAAATAATACAAAATCGCATAATCTGTCAAAACCATAAGGCTGAGAAATACAATGCTGAGTTACAGAATACTGCTTAACATAACAAGAAACATATCAAATGTCATTTTTAAGCTGGAATATCTCTGAGTCTTGCTTAAGCAATTTCTGGCACTGTTTGACCAACTGTTACCTATAAAAATGGACAAAAGTACTAGGAAAATTCAGGCTCACAAGCCAACTTATACTACTGATTTTAGCCACACACACACACCCACACACACACACATATATGTCTGCCCATTTTAAAGACTACAGTATGACATCCAATGTGAGAAACCCAATATGCTAAGCAAGTCTATTTGAGGTTACGTAACAACTTGACACAGTTTGATGATTTAGTCATGCAGTATGCAAAAAGCTGATTAATGGGAGGAGCTTCCATTACTTGTTAGCTACTTTAGTTTCGCAGCTCCAGTGCGAAAACTAAAGAACCGTGTTTTTATCCAATTATCACTTAAAATGCTTTCTGCTAAAGCAGGAATCTCTCACTGGCTCAGGCGGGACAGCGCCTTAATGGTGAGGTAACACAGTGTACCATCACATGAGGCTTCAGATTAACAGCTGACAGAGAGCGAGAGAGAGCGAGAGCGACAGGCTGAGCGTCAAAGAGGGAGCAAGGCAGATGTACAACCAGGCAAAACAGCCCACACGCACACTCTCTCATTACTGCACACAAACAGGGATGGGAGTTTGAGGAGAAGGACACTTTGGCCCAAAGCCCACTCTCATTCTGAGTATACACAGACATCCAGTCAAACAGTCAAAGCAAACACAGGACAGTCACACCTTCTTATGCATGACTGTTTCAGTACACATTAAATAATTGAAAGCTGTCACATGTCAGTGCATGCTGGAGAAGTGGAATGGAGGGTGGGTCTGCTCGCTTAACAAGCATGAGCATGGACGCTTGATGCGTCCAGCAGAGAGAAATGATGAGAGGGCCGCTTACAGAGAGAGCAGGAGGCGGGCAGGGCTGTGTGATTCAGCCTCCTACAAACCATGTCACAGACTGTTAAAGCATTGAAGCCATTTATTCTTGAAAACGGCACTTCAGAAAAGGGCAGTGTTTTTGATCTCTGTCTTTCTCAGAGTCCATGTGCATATGCATGGGTAGGTTGGATGAATGTGGGTGCGTAACGCTGTCCCATCTGTTCTTTCTGGAGGCTTTCCAGATCTTTCACAAATTTAACCAAGATAGCTTACGTGTGCTGACTGTGCCATACAGAGACAAATTTCTGGCGGAGGAAACGAAGCAGCTTTATTGCAGTAGCCCATATCATATCTTACAGTTAAGGCTGTCAGTGCGGGTGTCCGATACGGCAAAATGTAATATTTCGATACATCAAGGCATTTTTATGAAACATAATATGTAGTTTTTCAGGGGTTTGATGTGTTTGAACAAAGAAAAAAAGCCTCAGTAAGGACACATTTAAAAATACTATTTAAATACCATTACTATACTATTTAAAAATACTATCAAAAACTAAACTTTTTTAATGCAATGTTTCACACACACACACACACACACACACACACACACACACACACACACATACATACTGCACTTCATCCAATAAAACAGGACTAATTATTATGCTGTCTCTGTAATAAAAAATGTAGTTTGGTTAGTGTTTTTGCTCAGAAAATAAAAAAAAAAAGAATTTGCTCAGAAAAGCCTGTAGTGATGTAATTAATCACAATAACAATAAAATATCATTATATGGCCCATTATATTATTTATAAATAAATATTAAAGGTGGATCTAACTAAGAGTGCACTGGTCATGAATTTTTAGGGCAGATTTCGATTTCTTTATGGGAAGCCTGGCCAATAAGCTTTTTTTGTCTTTTCTTTAACCCAAAGCTCACACTGTGTTAGATAAATAAACACAAACACATTAGTGTATTTCTGGTACTTTCTATTAGCCAAAGTGACAATATAAATAACATTATTACTCTATAATAGGTCAAACTAGCAGTTTAAATGTATGAACAAAAACAAAATCAGTTGCCTGTTTTAACAGCATTAATTAAATTAGGTTTTACATTGAAAATAAGAGGTTGTCTGTTAGTGAGTCATGCATAATTATGCATAATTGCACATTTTGGTAAAGGCGTAGCAGCAAACAGCACAAGTGCACTTAACTGGCTCCCACTGTTTACACCACAAAATTGAAACAAAAATCTCCTTGACTGATTCTGATCAGGCATCCCTAAACTTAACTGAACAATAACAAACCATGCATAGCTTTCAGACATCCAACATGCTTTACTGGAGAAGATAAACTAGAAAGTCTTTAAAAGTTTTTGTTAAAAGAAATTAAAAAACACTACGTGGCAAAACAAATGTATATAAATGTCCAACAGACTTTGTTCCAGCAACAGAATTTAAAATACATATTATCATCATGCAAATTGTCAACTCATTATTGCTAATTCATTAATAGGTGATTTATAATTAGTGATTAGTTTTTAGTAATTAGTTTTTTTTTCCATCAAGTAATCAAGATTGATCGATTTTTTGTGACAGCCCTACTTAGAGTACACCTCTATCCTTTCTGTCTAGCCGTCTAGTTTTTCTTTGTACTTATATAAACCGTATCACGTTGGATAAAGTTTGCTGCGTCATGCTGTGTTTGGACTGTACATCTTCTCTTAGTGAAATAGCTCAGAAAGCCTCGTAAGCAGTACTTTCTCAATGGAGGTAGGAGCAATGAATGAAAAGATCCAAAACTCACAAAACTCATCTCTGAGTCAAATCATGCATGTACATTTCATTCTACTTGTCCACTCAGTCAACCTAGGACAAATGGTTGCTAATGGTTGCCAGTGAAAGGGTAAGATAAAACAATTAGGCTGTCACAGACACAGCTGAAAAGGACAAGCAGACAAACATTAAATTCCCTCTGGCAAATATTTCACCCTCAGAGTCAGGCTCCAGCTGATGCAGGAGTCATCAGAGAGCTCTGCAGCTCAAAGCTAAACAGGCCCAGACACAGACCACATTATATTTCTTCATTCTGGAGGAACATTAATTAACACCAAGCAGAAGCATACGCACTGCCCATTCAGGGACGGCCAGCTTTTCAAAAGTATAAATATATTACAGACTAACCAAATTTATTTTGAGGAAAACAAAACCACACACGTATATATTTGTGACAATTTCTATGATAGTGCTACCATGGAAATAATGACAAATCCCACAAGTTATCTCCTTGTTGTGATGTCAGCACTTATCAGCACTCAAACCTTTCAGCTGTTAAAACCACCTTTGAGCCAAAAGATTGTTTCCAGTCACTCTCAAACCAGCATACATACTGATGAAGATAAATTGTATCAGATAAAACATCAGTATAACTCATTGTTCTCCGACAGTCAAAAACCAGTCAAACTTTGGAAAATTTGAATGACTCACCTCTGTTGATGAAGTAGGCAGTCTTTTGTGTTTATCTGCAAAAGGAAAAAATGAGAAGTACATAATGAAACATTCCATATGATCCAACAGTACACTTTATAAGAATTAGAAATAACTTTACTATTCAGACTGTATAGTACTGTGCAAAGGTCAGAGACTACCCCTCATTTATTTAATTTCCAGTCAAAATGATTATTAAGCACAAGATGTTAATTTCTCGGTAGATATATCTGAAGTGATAAAAGATAATCCACTTGAACAACGAAGGAGAAAGTCTAAGATAAATAAGTGAAACTGGAGTTCAAAACATAACTAGTTAATACGGGAATCCTAACATCCATGCAAGACCTGGTAGACCACTAAAACTGAGTTTTTGTCCATCCTTCCACTGACAACTTAACGCTATGAGTTTAAATGGATGTGTAGCTGTCAAGAAGCTATGCAGAGAAAACGAAATGGACAAAACAGAAGAAACTCTGCAAATTAAACAAAGAAGCTGCTGGTCTTCTCAGAATAATAAATTAACCACACCAGAGTCCAGACCTCAACATCAAAGAATGTGTTTGTTTACCTGGAAGCACAAAATAAAAACAATTTGTAAGACTACACTGAAGCTGTGGATAATTATCCCTGCAGATTTCATTCTTACGTTCGTTTTAAAAAAAAAAAAAACTGTTTTTGTTTACCCAATGGCATGAAGGACTACTTGGTATGCTTAAAGTAATTAAAAAACAGATTTGGGGGAGGAAAAACTGGACTGGCTCAGCCTGTTTGGCACGCAGTGGCTCAGGAGAGTGTGTGAAAGAAACTTACACAATCTGAACCCTTATGTCTAGTCAAAAGGGGTGTAGACAGGGGACGATCATGCTTTGGGGGAAAAGCTTTTTCAACCAAATTTAAAACAAACAAAACACACAACTCTCTAATGGCACTGGTGACACAATGTTATGGCCTAACAGTGGCTGGCTGATTAGCAGAGCTCATCCTTGTCACCAGTGAATGAACCCAGTGTCACTGTAACAGCAACACTACACATCCAACAGTTAGTGTAAAACCAGTATATAGGCTCTTGGTTACCACACTTTGTAAAATCTGCTAGTTGAGGATGACTATGTATGATTTTTTTTCCCTTCCATCAACAATGAGGAATTGTGGCACAAGCTGAATTTATTTGGGAATAAAAATTTTAAAATTCTTTACCTGAAGGTAAAAAATAAATCCATTTGTAAACTTTCTGCTATATATGGACTGAACTTCACCAAAACACCAATACTGTACTACAGTGTAGCTGCATGTGTGTAACTTTACTCTGGTGCATTAATGAAGTACTGTGACTTCCCAGTCTTTGTAACAAATCACAGACAGTAAGTACACACATACGGTCACCAAACTCAGCTTAACCTCTATCTTACAATGAAGCCTTTTGAGATCAGCTCAGCAGCATCAATAAGGCCCAGTCTTACAGAGACTTTTAGAGAAGAAGGTTCAGAAACAGTCTGTCTACTCTAATAACACTGCTGCAGCAAGGAAATTGCAACACTGCTGTGTTCAGACACAGCATACTGATTAAAAAAGATGGCAGAATTCATTGGTCATCACAATATATGGATATATTATCTGTAGACATCCTATTCTAAATTCATAGGCATTAATATGGAGTTGGTCCCCCATTTACAGCTGTAACAGCTTCCACTCTTCTGGGAAGCTTTCTACAAGATTTTTGAGTGTGTCTGTGGGAATTTTTCCATTCAGAAGAATTTGTGATGTAAGACACTGATGTTGGACAAGATCGCCTTGCCCGCAATCTCCATTTTAGTTAATCCCAAAGGTGTTCGATGGGGTTGAGGGCAAAGCTCTATGTTGGCCAGTCAAGTTCCTCCACACCAAACTCACCCAGCCATGCCTTTATGGACCTTGCTTTGTGCACTGGGGCACAGTCATGCTGGAATAGAAAAGGCTCTTCCCCAAACTGTCCCCTCAAAGTTACAAGCATATCATTGCCCAAAAATGTCTTGGTCTGCTGGCACTTTAAGATTTCCCTTCATTGGAAGTCAGGGGTCTAGGCCAACCCCTGGAAAAACAACCCCATAGCATTATCCCTACTTTACCTTTACACTTGGCACAATGTAGTCAGACAGGTAATGTTCTCCTGGTATTCGCCAAACCCAGACTCATCCATCAGCATGACTCCACAGAATACCTTTCCACTGCACCCAGTCCAGTGGCAGCGTGCTTTTTATGTTATATAAATATATATAAAAAAAGAAAAGAGAAAATATATATATATATATATATATATATATATATATATATATATATATATATATATATATATATATAAACCCACAGCAGCATAAAAATGCTAAAAATGCTAAATGCCGTGCGCCATCAAACAGATGCGCCAATGCATCATATTGAATTCTGAACCCCTAATTGCGAGAGAGAGAGATGTTCTGCTTCCAGGATGGCTGCCAAAATGTACAAATGCACCAGTGGTCAGCACAACAAAACCCAAAACAAATCTAATCCAAGTGGTGAGTGTGAGGGTTCCTTCTTGTGAATAAGAAGAGTGAATAAGCTCTGCCTCAGAGAAGCCTGGAAACACGCTAATGGAGCGCAAGACTTATTTACCCAACTCAGACTGAATAATGAATACACGCTCTATAATTCTCTTTGATGGTTGGCTCAGTTACAGCCATCATGACTGCACTGGTCAAGCTTATCACCATCAGCCAGACATGGAGTATAACTGGAGTATATAGCTCTTTTGCCAGTGAGTGTCTATCTGGAGATTGCAATATTCAACTGCAGCAAAAATCTGCAGTAGAACAAAAGTTCTACTTAAGAGCAATTTTGCTGTTTAACTATGTTAAGCATTTAAATTGTTTTAATTTAAAATTTTTACAATGTGCTAATATTTCACGATGAATGAAAAAAAATCTTATTCTATTAACTTCCATTTGAATTTAACAGTGTCTTTCTTCTCCTGTGAAGTTACCATTTTTGACCATTTTACCAGACTTTGGTCCAAACATTCACTGCTTTTCATGAGGTTAATCATGGGGCAGACAAAAATACATCATGATACTTCAAGATATTTTCTCAATACATGCTTGACATATCATGATATTTCAGTTTTCTGAGGTTTGAGAAGTTTGAACAGATTAAAAAGCCAAAAAAGTGATCCCACATTAAAAAAACACTATGAAAAACTTTGAATACAGTGATTTTTCTTTAAAGTTCCACATAATGCACTGAACTACATCTAGCTAAACAGGCCTAAATACGGCCTTTTCGTAATAAACAATGCATTTGTTTAGTGTTCCTCAAATACTAATAACTTACTAATAATCCATGATACGCTCAGAGAAGCATATTGTGACATAATTGCTCACAAAAATAGTAAATATCGTCATGTTGTTCGCCCCTAGGCTAACAGTGCGGGGAAAAAGGGAGGAGAAAAGCAAGCAGTTTTGGTCTACACTGAAAGATTCCAGCCCAATTCCTTTTACACATCATTATCCTGCACTCATTCACATGGAACTTGTGACTCAGATCATTGGTTTGGCATATTATTTAAACTGACATACTGTCACTGAACTCTGGTCCCAAGAAGTCAGCCTTCAATGAATTACTTTAGGCCTTATGACTAGCCAGGCTAATCCATGCCTGTCTCTAATTAAAGGCCTTTTTTAATCCTTGAAGGCTGCTGTCTTTGAAAAATGAACAGAGTCTTGAGCTATTGCACTTTAAATGAATGTGCTTTAAAACCCAGAAATAGGGTTTTGGTTTTTAAAGGAAGAACCTCAGAAATAATGAATCTATGAGTCCGACAACCATTTACAGTACGCCAGAAATAAACAGCTACAGCACCTCTGATAGCAATTAGTAAATCACACAGTATGCCTTAAAGGCACCATAACAAGGAAAACTTCTCTTTTCAAGTGATGTGCAATCACAGAACCCAAAACTGAGGTTCTCTAAAAAGTTAATACTTCAGCAGCTACAATGAGGCCAGTTGTAACTCAAAACAGCTACATGAAAGCATGGACACACATCTATTTGGTGGCAAAATACAAAAAAGCCAGTTTATAGAATACATTAGGAATTTGCTAAAAAAAAAAATAGCCTTCACTCATGACTATATGTTTTAGGGGAAGAGGGAATGGGCTAAATTGGCATCATAGACAAAACTGAAAAACAAAACTGAAACCAGGACCCTGAGGCAGTATTTGGAAATATGAGACAGTAGACATTCAAGAATGGGGGGTGACCACCACTTTCTGTCAATGCCATGTAGATAATGGTGAGTTGGTGACAATACAAGGTGTTATTCGATACAATCTCAGCTAAAAGGTTTCTATATAGGACCAAAAAGGTTCTGTGACTTGTAACAAAAGCAATAGTCTTTTCTGATGCCATGTAGAGAGTATGCTTTAAAAAGGTTCTTTAAAGAGACATACATAAATTGTTTTTTGATCATAAGGAAGTACAATTCAACCAACATAGGAATGTATTCAAATGATTCTTAGATTGTTCATGATTCTATTTATAACTACTGCCTAAAACCCTCGATAAACCCTTTTAAAGGCTGTATGTTTTCTCTATGCATAAAAACAAGGCAAGAAATGGTTACTATACATATCTTTTGTATTAAGCCTAATGATTATTGAATTATTATAAATGATATACAGACATACTATATAAAATATTACTACTTTGAGGAAGTATTTAGTATTTCTACCTTATTACACTGTCTCATTTTATAGTGTGCATCTCCACATCTTTTCATTTTAAGGTCTAAATTGCATGCCTAAAGTGCTATATAGCCATAAAGCTCTACACACACAGAACATTTCATCATCTAAAAATGAATCATGGTGCAGCATAACAACACGTGGCAGATTTTCTCTCATCTGCATTTCGTTATAGAGGTTGTAGGGAGCCCTGTAAAAGGGGCAGCATGTGCGAGACCCCTTTGTGTTGGTCCTGCGGTGAGGTGTCACAGCTGGATCAGTCTCAGCTCCTATTGTTCATAGTAAGAAAGGTGCAGGGGTCGCTCACACAGAGCACAGACCTACACTGACCTACAGGCTATCTGTAAAACAACTATGTAAAAGATATGAGCTCTAACAAAAAAAGAAAAAATCAGGGAAAGAGCTGAAACCTGTAATAATCCTATTTGGTGTTAAACCTGCAGTCCTTTCTGGAAGCCTGTGTTCAGAGTGATGCAGTCCAGAGTTGTTCACTTTAAATAACGTGGCGGGGGAGGAGTAACGTTAGCCTACATACTGATCATTTTAAAGAAAAAACCAGCTTCACAGCCCACATGCCTATAATATTAAGTAGACAAGAGGGAATGTAGTGCATGGTAAAGAACCAACAACCCCTCAGACGACGTCCCAAGCTCTATTTTCATCCATTTCATCCTAAATTAAAGCCAGTCTGGTCAGTATTTTGGGGTTACCTGGGCTGCTCTGGTGGTGTAGGTGAACAGTGCCATCTTTACGGATCCTCACATCGCCAGGTCCCTCGATCCTTCTGGCCGGACTCTGGGCGGATTTAGCCCGGCGTCGAGGCGCTAAGAACCGGCAGCACTGATAACAAACAGCCCACGCTTGTTCTTCGTTAATCGGTTGACTGTAGAGAGTTAAAATTTCCTCCAGAGACAAGGCCTCCGCGTGGTCCTCCACTCCGTCGATGATATCTTGGCCAACCGTCGGTGAGATTAGCGTTAACGTTCCTCCGTCGTCGTCGTTGCCTGGCCGTTTGGCCATTTTCTTGTTTCTGTCCTCCGCCGCCGACTTTCCCCCGAAGAGTATCAGTCGTGGCTCGTTTTTGAGGAGAAAGAGGGAGCGGGCTTGTTTACGGTTCGCTCTGTCATTTAGAGAGCTGAAGAAGCCTCCACCTCCACCACGACAGCGTTCATTCAGCGCTACTGAATGCCAGCGCTGTGGAGTCGCTCAGCGCGCTGTTGTTTTTTTTTTTTAAACCAGTATTCGAACAAGCCCCGCCTCCTGCGCTCTGATTGGTTAGAAATTCATTCTCAGAAGGAGTCTGCCAATCTATATGCTAGATGTATATACATATTATATGCAAATCTATTAAGAGGTGTATAATTGGGAAAATGAGGGGAGAGGTGTCCCCCTTGAGGACAATGTTCATTTATTGTAAAGCAGAACCATTTCCATGCATGTGCAGGCTGATGAAATAAACTGGAAACAAACTGGAACAGCACATAGTTTGTGTTTTTATAAAATACATAGTGTTTTTATAAAACAAAAAAGCAATCTTCCTCCACTATCTGAGCACAGTGCCTCCTTACCTGGGCTAAAAAGCTGAATCTTGCACCTATTTGTCAAGTTTCACAGAATGTATAATTTATGTCACTTCTAGTCTTTGCATTTTTATTTATTGTGTTCTTAACCAAAGTACAACACTAAAATATGTTTTAAAAAGAAACTGGTGCCTCTATCTCTTCATGTCGCACTGATTCCAATTCATTTTTATAACCTATGAGAAAAAACAAACGCCAGTAAAATTGAAATGTCAGTTTTATCTATTAATTAAATAGTGATTCTTGTCTTCTCTTCTTCGCCCCTTACACTCATTCACAAAGGCATAACATAGGGGTAGCCTTCTGGGTTATGGTTAGGGTTAGGGTTAGGCCACCCCAATTATCGAAAATGGTACAGTCAATCATTATCAGTCTGCTAAAGCTAAAGCCACTGTACATCAATTTGATGTCACTAAGCCACATGAAACTAAGCCGGGCTATGGCGATGTTCCTGCGAGTTGTGCTACCTTATTGAAATGTTCTACCGTGGCACATTTTTATAGGTATGCTTGTAAATAAAACCTCTAGGTAGGACATTTCAATAGCTTAAAACCTGATCAAAAATACTACTAATAATACTTTTTCACCAGCTTTTTGTTCAAGTTTTCCTGTTCCATGTTAAATGATGCAGCAGTTGTAGCTATCACAAAAATACAGAGTGGATATTTTGTTTGCATTCCTTTCTGCTTTCAACAAACCTGTTTGATTAGACAACAAATTAAATCGGACTAATCAGATTTTGACACAATTCACAAATAAATTTTTAGTAAGCACCGCAATAGCAAACATGGTCTGGGGTCTCCTGCTGAGCCGGTCCACTTGATGTCACAGATGCTGTTCCACTGGCTAAACTTTGCTAATGTCACTTTATGAAATACGGTCTTAAATAAGCTGGTGTTACGTCGAGAGGCATTGCAGTAGCTAAACAGTACCTAATGACAACCTAGATCGGATGATTTGTCAGGGGAAACCACCTAAGTCCCCACAACAGTAATGTTTTTAATAAAGTTTTTTAAAATTTTCTTTTACAAAGCAACACCTGACTGGCTCTGAAGCATGCCTCTTAACGTTAAATGCAATGTATACACACAATAAACATGTTTCTTCTATTCTGGCAACAAATTCTTAATTTTGGCCACAAGATTCATTGGCTTAGTGGAGCTAGTGGCCTGCGCACACTTTTACATCTGCCTACCACTAGACTCTATACTTATGGGAACAGAGTCTTTCAATCCCTTAAACTATAAGTAAAAGTGAGTGGGTCCAGACTTCAATTTTTCGCTTTACATACCTTTATATTAGTTGTGTATGAGAAGTAATAAGCCTTAAACTAAGGCTTATTAGATTTAACTAGATTTGATTAAACTAATCAGATTTGTTAAAAAACAATTTTCCCTGCCAATTAGGTGTATGTTTGGTCATTAGTCCATCATTCTGACTACATAATACTTGAATCATAAAGACATCAATGTCCACTGCTACGCTGATGACACACACTTGTATATATCGACCAAACCAGATGATAAACTTCAACATAATAAGACTGTGTAAAAGACGTAAAAAACTGGATGTCAACTAACTTCCTCCTACTCAACTCAGACTAAACAGATGTTCTTCTTCTTGGTCCAAAAGCTGCTAGAAACAAACTGTCTCATTTAACACTTAAACTTAATAGTTTCTTAGCTGCAGTGCATCTGTAAAAAACCTTGGATGCATCAGGTGCATCTGTAAAAAACCTTGGTGTCGCGATAGATCCTGATCGGCCCTTCAATCCACATATAACCTCTATATAAGTCTCTACAGGATGCAGAAAAGCTAGTTCTTGCATTTATTACCTCAAGGCCTGACTACTGTAATGCCCTGCAGTCTGGATGTTCAGCAAAGCCTTAACAAGTTTCATCTAGTCCAGAACGCTGCAGCCAGAGTCCTTACAAGAATGATAAAGTTTGACCAAATCAGCCAAGTTTTATCAAACCTACACGGGTTGCCAGTTACACACACGATGATGATAATGGACTCAGGACAACACACATGACGAAGATAATAATGATCTCAGGACAACACACATGATGATGATGATGATGGACTCAGGACAACATATATGATGACGATGATGGACTCAGGACAACACACATGATGATGATGATGATGGACTCAGGACAACACACATGATGATGATGATGATGATGATGATGATTATGGACTCAGGACAACATATATGATGACGATGATGGACTCAGGACAACACACATGATGATGATGATGATGATGGACACGGGACAACACACATGATGATGATGATGATGATGATGGACTCAGGACAAACATATATGATGACGATGATGGAGTGTTACTGGTTTTCCAACAATGATTTAAATAATTTCAATACTGGTTTTATTACACTTTGTCATTCTAAGAACATCATCTTGTGTGTGTGTGTGTGTGTGTGTGTGTGTCTCGTTCAGTTTAAGAAAATGATAGGGCACTTCCTGTGAAAAAAAAATTAATTTGCATTATATATTGTCTCTCAGATGAGGAGGATTCTCTCCTGAAACAGTGGAGTCTTTATACAGTGTGACTGCAGGGGGCAGGAATGACCACTTGAAGCATTTGAAATTGCAACAGACAGGCCTTTGAGTTGTATTAGAAGTCTGAGGTGTACAGGTCAGACACGCATCCCCTCAGACGCACAAACTGTGGTCTGTCTGTCAGTATTTGATGCTCCAGGAGGTTGTGGAGGTGTCCAATCTCCATACATGCTTTCATGTGGTTCTTCTTAAACAATGGGCTCTTTTTGCAGCCCTTCCATAGAGGCCGGACTGTGGTGGCCTCCCTCACCAGTTAGTGTTTTCCTGGGATGCTTAGTTTTGAGGGCAAGCCTTTTTTACAAATAGTCTGGGTGGTGAAATGCAACTTCCACTTAATTTGTATGGATCCAGTGGTTCTCAATTGGACATCTAAACACTTATTTTATTGCAATGTTTTATTTAGGCATTTGAATCACTAATAATAAGTAAAACTAAACACATAAAACTAACAGGTTTCAATTCAGAGTTTACAGTACTATATACATATGCATTATGAACTGATTCATCGGTGGAATCTTTAAGAAATTGGCAGCCAAAATCCCCAAAATTGTTAAGTATATTTTAATATTTTTTTTAAGTTAAAACATTAACAAACTGTAATTTCTAATAACCAGTCCCTAAAAATGAGCAGATATCAGTTTAGAGAGTTAGCATTTGTCAGTGTAACCAAATCATAAGTCAAATTCAACACATGAAATGATCATTTTCAAGTAGTTCATTAACAGATGCAGGTTCAGAGTTTATTATACTACTTACTTACCAACTATAAAGTGATTTAACTGTAGCATTTTTAAGCAAGTGGAAGACACAATCCTCATATTTTAAATATAATTTAATGATTGGTAAAACAAAATTCGGTGTCATGAAATTCAAGGGTACCAAAATCTGGGACATGTGTGTATTAGAGAGAGAAAAAAAAATACAGAAGATTTAAGAGATCATTTTTGTCCTTGTTTCATGGATTAATTGCACTTTTTACAAAAATTGTTCTGAAGGATAGTGTAAAAACAGATTCACATCATGAAATAAGAGCAAGATTAGATAGAATATATGTGTTTGTGTACCAGAAACTTTGTTTAAATGTTTAAAACAAAAACAAATAACTTTTCAAATGAAAATGGAAGCAGTAGAATTATGAGTAGTTCACCAAACACACAAAATTTACAACTAATCTCAATTCAATTTACACAATCTTTTAACAATACTGTGCAACAGGTGCTTGTCTGAAGTGCATTTTAAGTATGCAGTTTTTAATTACCTGAAACAAAGTCAGGGAAAAATTACAAAAGCATCAGAAAAATGTAAAATATTATTTATTGCATGTATTGTGCGTAAAAGGAAAGACTCTTAACTGATATCTGTTCATTTTATTTTCTCAAATTCAAATTATTATTTAGTTAGACTAACAATTATGAGGATTTTGACCATAAACTACTTAAAATGCTAGAGTAAAATGACTTCATAATTCATATGTATATAATGTAAACTCAACTGATGGTTTTATGGACTACTTATTGAAAATGACCATTTTACAATGTGTACTGACAAGTTTGGGGATTTTGGCTTACTTAAAGATTCTACAATAGAATCACTTCATAATTCATATTTATATAGTACGATAAATATTGAAATCGATATCTGTTGGTTTTATGGACTATTTATTGGAAATTACCATTTCATAATGTTTTAGTATTTTAAATTGTCATTAAAATATAGAACTGTGGGGGTTTCAGCTGCCCATTACTTAAAGATTCTACAGATTCTTGTTTATTTTTAGTTTTATTTTATTTTATTATTCCTGCTTTTTGTGACCACTATAGGAGAGATGCCATTCGAAATTTCATTGTACATAAGTATAAAGACTATTGTTTTATTTATATATGTAATATTGCTACTATTACAACATATTTACATATATACATATATTATTTGATATCCTGTATTATTTAATTACATTGATTACAATAATGATAAAATGTATATAGTATTAATTATTTCTAAGATTCAAAAGTTTAAATGAATGTTTTCAACAATATAGAATCCAAA